GGGGGCAGGGGAAAGTGGTCGTTTGTCTAAGAGATTATCTTGTACAGTTTGTAATTAGACCAGATTCGACTGTTTAATCGCGGTACTTCAGTTGAGAAAGATGGATACTTCTTTAAATTTGATGTGTATCAAAACTAATTTATCAGGAAGGCAGGAGGTTGCGTTGACGGACGGGAAAATAGTTCTTTCCATTATATCTGTTTTTTTCTACTCTATTGTCTTTTCAACAACAAGTAATGTCATGGAAAAATAGTGTCATTTTTTTCTTTTCTTATTTGTTTGTACTATTTGCCTGTCACTTCTGTTAAGTACCAGTTACGTATATATGTGTTTCATTCGATATTTGCTTTTTTGTGTGGTCATCTCTGTACCCAGACGGCCCTGAAGGTGTCACGTTAGAGAGAAAAAACGTGAGACCAGAGGAGGCTGGAACGTATAACCTGTGTCCGTCAGTGACACCAGATATAACCATGGAATGTTCTGTGGGAGTTGTCTACCCAGCAGCAAGCTTTTCCCTCGCAATGGCGCCAACAGGAATACAAACTTTTGATGCATGTACGGGAAACGACAATAAATGATCCTACAATTTGGTGCCTTCAAAGGGAAGTAATCACGAATTCCGGTGTGACGCGGTGAACAGCGCTTTTGGAGATATGTTCCGAAATAGTCCATCTGTGCAGGTCTACGTGCGAGGTGAGTGTGATTAAAAAAACCTACAACAAAAAACAAAGATTGTCCTTAGCAAAAATGTTATACACAACTAAATGATCCTTCTTTTAGGTTTATTTTAACACTCAGTTACACTGCCAGCAACAAAGCTTTTACCCATCGTAAACCATAAATACCTCAACCTCACTCATTGAAGCTTTTACTAATTATGAATTGAAATGTTAGGGATTTAGTTACCTCTAACCAAAACAAAATACCGATAATGGTATCCCCAAATGTCAGTTCACTCATTTAACAAGGCCAAACTAAAGAACAAAAAACAAAAAACAAAAACCAACCCCAAAAAGCTCATGATGTTTGTGCCAGTAGTAGAAACAAAACTATAAGACAGAACTTGTCCAAAAACAAATTTCTAGAAATTGACCTGTTATGTACTTTCATAGTGTTGATTGTTTTTCCTAAGTTGATAGATTTTTGTCTCTGTGAAGTGGGCCAACGAAAAATTGTTATGTGGTTATGGCTCATGTTGCAATCTCTACCCTTTCTTTCCTGTAAGGTGAAAAGTAGAACAAATATATTCCCTAAAGTAAGATTTAATTTAGCTGTTCCTCAAGTATTTAGGAGGCGGGCTTTATCAACGCTTGTATGGCTAGCCATTTCTTTTGTGAGAATAACTACTAATCACAAGTATCATGACTCGTTTTTTCCTATGTGCAATGTTTAATGGCTGGCATTGTCTCACCAGAACCTCCCAAGACGGCCCCTACACTGGTCATCAACGGGAAAACCTTCACTGATGTCGGAGCGGGTAACACCATTGTTCTTGAAGCAGGCACAGAACACAGTGTGGAGTGTCACGTCGATGGGGGATTCCCGGAAATCTCTGCCTCAGACATCTCTCTACAGTGCGGGGGTTGGGACGTGACTGATGGAAAGTTTGTCCCCTCCTTGTTGTCGGTTCGTCTCAACGAGACCAGCTGTAGTTGTCGAGCAGAACATCCTAGTGGGTGCTATGACTTGGCGACAGAAGTCGTCGTCTCTCTCACAGGTGTGTGTGTGTGTGTGTGTGTGTGTGTG